TTTTTAAATCTGAAATTTTTTGTAGATTTTTTTCAATTTTTTTTGTTGCTGACATCATCAATGACGTTAGCAAACTGGGGTTGGAACTAAGGTAGATCTTGCCTCAAGGCTAGCCTGGGTTCGTGGGCCCCATCTCTTGCCAGGGCTAGCCCTTGCCGCTAGATACAAGATTTTGGCCTAAACCCCCCCAGCCCTCCCCTTAGGCGCATCGGTGGAATCGCTCTAAGGCTATGGGGTGGGCTAGGGTTTTGGGGTCGGGGAAGAGGGTGACCAAAAAAACACTATCCTTTCAAAGCAAAAGAAAAAAAACACAATTATGATTTCAAGGATGTTGAGCCAAGTGCAACGGAAACAAATGTAAATACAATAAGAAAAATAGAAAGCTTAGAGCACTTCCACCCATTTGCCATGGCAAAGGGCAAGAGTTGTTACTATTCATGTGAATAGTGGCAACCCTTGCAAAAGGTTTGTGATGTTTTCACCCATTGTCATGGCAATCCAAGGACAACTACTATTCACATGAGATAATGAGGAGAGGAATTTGTATAAAGTTTTGATGTGGGAAATGAAGAATATGACTAAGTATTTATTTAAAAAAATTTTGAAATTTTTAGTATTTTTTTAGATTTTTTTTCCTTTGCTGACGTTAGTAGACCCAAGCAATAGCCCGAGCTATTCTTGCGTTACTATTCACATGAGATAATGAGGAGAGGAATTTGTATAAAGTTTTGATGTGGGAAATGAAGAATATGACTAAGTATTTATTAAAAAAAATTCTGAAATTTTTAGTATTTTTTTAGATTTTTTTTCCTTTGCTGACGTTAGTAAACCCAGGCAATAGCCCGAGCTATTCTTGCCTTTGGGCTAGCCCGGTTTGCTGGGACTCATGCGTTGCCTGGACTATAGAAGCCCATTGGAACATCAAACTAAGGCTTGGGCCCCTGTTGCTCGGGCTAGGGGACACCGTTGGAAGTGCTCTTAGAAACACAAGATGTAACGTGGAAAACCCTTCAATGTGAAGGGAAAAACTACGGGACAAACTCCGAAATTTCTTCGAGTAAAGACAGAGGAAAAACACCACTCACATACTATGTCTTCTTCTCTCTCTACATAAAATCCGTAGGATAGCCTCTTAAGTAATACAGCAAGCAGACAACCACCTCTTAGGGAATTACACCCACCAATTAATTATATGACTTCTCAAAAAATACCCAAGACAGCCGTCTAATAATTCTTTGTCTAAGGATGTGCATCTCACACAGATTAGCATTAATGATAAATATTAATTTCACGAGGAGCCCATTTTAAAATTACATAATATATATTTGAAGACTGGTAGATAGGTGTATAATTCGTTGGTCGATAGGAGACTAGTAGTTGAGTTGAGAACCCATTTTGCTCCATGCCATTGCCAATTAATCAGGTGTGCTGCAATGTGCTGAACTGCTGATCTTAATGGTAGACGTGAAGGTCCAGCCAACTAATTAACATCAAAATCAATTCAGTCTCTTTCCGTGTTTACATCTTCTTCTTTCCCCGTCGTCTTTATGCCAAATTTCGCCAGTGTGTGCCTACACAGGGACCCGCCGTCAATACATTTTCGCAGTGCATGAATACATACTTTTAAACTCTAGAGTTATAATCTCCTAATGCGTATTAGTATTAATTTCGAAGTTATGGGTTTATGAACATTGATTGGTAACTAAAGAGTGTATCTATGATTAATCGTGAGAAAAGTTAAGAATATTTATGTAGGTATGGATTAAATGGTGCTTAAGATAAATTCTGAATCGGAACAAAGACAGTCTTATAATTGATATATTGTCCTTCACCGTGTGTCACCTCATAATATCATGTGCGCTTGTCACAACAGGACAGATGCGTGATGAGCAATCAAAACAAAATAACAATGTCCCGATCAAAAAGTTGCAAGGTGAAAGTGAAATTATTTATAAAAGAATAAGTTACGCAAAGTTAAAGAACACCATATTTTTAAAAAGCTTACCAGTTTAGCCAAAATCTGATACTTCCAACTCTCTAAGAGCACTTCCAGCGCTAGGCATTAACCAGGGCAAAAGGCCCCCCGAAGCCCAGTTTCGCACTCCAGCGTAGCACCTGCAGCCCGGGCAAGCCCTGGGTCCCACCAGCCCTGGCAAGCCCAAGGGCAGATCTTGACTGGGCTGTTGCCCTCGGGCTGCTGACGTCAGCAGCTGATTTCAATTTTTTTTAACTGTTGGACCCACCAGCCCACATTGCCCAATGGTTACAAGCCATGTGGCTTCTCCTGGAGCCTCCGATCAAAAAATCTTGCACAATCCAACGGTTGTCCAATTTTTCGCTAAAAAAATTTGAAAAAAATATCAAAAAATTCTTGAAATTTTTTCTATACATACCTACCAATATTATTCACTTTTCAAAATTTTATTAACTAAAAATTTCAAAATTTTATCTGAAAATGTTATCTTGATTTTTAAGTGAGGATTTTACGATAAATATTAACACTTGGGAATTGAAAATCTTATCCAAAAAGCTTATCAAAATCAATGGTTTAAGTATAAAAAATAAAAAATAAATTTAAGTGAATAGTAATTGCCTTAGATTTGCCCTAGACTTAGCCCTCAGGGGTGGAACCACAAATGGCAAGGCTGACACTATTCACGTGAATAGTGTCAGCCCTTGCTTGCCCTTGCCCTAGACTTAGCCCTTGTGGGTGGAGATGCTCTAACAACCAAGACCGAAGGGTGTACCTCAGTGGTGAGGTCCCTCCCCCTTTCCCCTTGGTCACCCATTTGAATCACAGGGAAAGTGACCCCGTCCCCAATTGTTGTAATTCAAAAAAAAAAAAAAAAAACCTCATCGAATAAGCGATGTGAAATTTAAGGAGTGTGACATGTGAGCCCCTCTTTGAACAATGCTTGAGTTGAGTTCCCTTCAAGTAACAAATTTTGACAAAAATATATTTAAAAAAAAATATGGCTATTATTCTATTCGAAAGGCTACCTACCATATTCCATGGCCACAAACGCATTTCTTTCCAGTATGGTATGCAAGGACTAGTCAAATATAAACTGCCCAACTATAATAGAAAGTTTGACCAAAAGCAAACTAAAAAGAACACGTACATGCCATCTCCTCAAAATGACTTTCCAAAAGAATTTCAATTGGAAGGAATATTCTTCATGCAAAAAACATTACTTGAATGGCGGTGACATGCATTTTACCATTTTATCACTCTCTCTCTCTCTCTCTCTCACACACACAATACATGCCTATCTTATTCTGCTATCGAAAGCATTCCAAGGTCTGGTACATTTCTCAATCCACCAGTCACTCTCACTCCCAAACCACGTACAAACCAAACCTTCCTATGGGCTTATATATTTGTCTTGAGAACTCTAGAAGCTTTGATACCACTTGTCCTGTACTTTTCTAAAGAAGTCATGAACATTCTTTTCAATTAATTTTCGATTGTCGGTGTGTGGTGTTAACAAGTCCTATGTTATAACCCGTGAATATTTGTTAATAGGACATCGTATAATATAAACTTATTGTTTATTTATATTATAATACGTGAATTAGTAATAAAATTGTGACATTATTATAGTCACAAACAAAAATTTATCCTCTTTACCAACATTTTCCCTTTTATTATTTATAGTTTTCAACATATCTTCTAATTCTAAGATGAATCTTCTAATTCCCTAGAAATGCAAAAACAACTCCCTTGCAGATTTCACATTAGAATCCAATCGAATCAAATTCTTCAATTTTATAAGTTACAAAAACAAAACAAAAAACTCGTCAACGGGTCCATAATTCAGTGGTAAGAGCATTTGCAAATAAATTAGTAGTCTCAAATTCGAACTCCAATGGTAAAAAAGGAATTATCATTAAATCAAACTCAATCTCAAACCTTAATAGAATTAGACGTGAAATGAAATTTTTTTCTTCTACAAAACAGGGAAGAAGTTTCAAATTTGAAACATCTTTCAACATTGACAAAAAACATATAAAACCAACTAACTATTCTTAAGTTTGAAGCTTCCTCTAAAAAACATAAATATGATTGAATTTTTGAATTCACCATCCGACACAATCATGTGTAATTTTGAGTCTAAAAGATCAATCCAACCCACCAAATTCATCAAAACTGATTAAATTATATCAATTTGATTGCATCTTTAAAACAAAACCATACGTGTGTTATAAATAATAGATCTTGCGAGTGAGGCCCACAATATAGATAAGAGGTTGCATTTTGTATTATCCATTAAATGAATTATTTATTTATTTATTTAGTTTTCGGCATAGAACATTTAACATAAGACAACATCCATAAATTCATGATATAAATGGATTTGCGTTAATTATTTTATTAGTCTTTGAATTTAGACCCAATTTGCATTTGAGTCTCTTAATTTCCAAAATCGTTTTCATGGTCATTCAATTTCAATTTCGTTAGAACAAATAGTCATGCCGGCAATTTTGTTAACTTTTTTATTAAATGCCAGAGCAAAATGGTATTTTTATATTAAAAAATAATAATAATAATAAATCATACAACATTTCATATACATGAGAGAGGTTAGAATTTACAATATCCTCCAATAAATGCACGCCCTGCCCTAACCACCCCACCACCCAATCAAAATCTAAAACCTTATAATAACAAAGGAGCCCCAAAAATAAAAAAGAGCAAAGGGAGAGAGACAAAGAAGAAAGCTTCATTTCTCTGTCTCTCTTTGAAAAGTCACTCACTTTCTCTCTGTATGTTATTGGGTTGGGGTTGGTTTGGTGTGAAATTGAATCCTTTGATTTTGATTTGTTTGGTTGGAGTTTGAAATGCTGCAGCTGCTATTCGCGGTGGCTTTCTCGGCGGTGCCTTTGACCCTCTACGTGCCGCCGATCCGAAGCATCAACCTGTTCGTGGAGACAATCGAAGACTTTATCCGCCAAACCGCCGCTTACAGCATCAGACTTTACCCTCGCCTCCGCCTCGCCTTCTCTCGTTTCCTCAACTCCCTCCACTTCTCCAGGTAGACCCCGAACTCACGCCCGATTTCCTCAATTCTTCTTCAACCCATTACATTGCTCAGCTCACCCGACCCGACCCGAACTACCCGAGTTAATTTTTAATTTTTAATTTTTTTTAATGTATAATTTTCTTTTAGTTTTTAGGAGGGATGGGTTTGTAAATTGTGAGTTGTTTGTGATGTTTTAATTTTGTTGAAGGGGTTGTTGTTCATGAAATTATATGATTGGGTTGGGAGATTGAATTTTTAGTTTTTTTTTCTTTTTCTTTTTTATGGGATTTTAGTCTTCCAAATGATTTGGTTTGTGTATTATTTGCAAAATTAACCCATGATTAATAATTTATTGGTGTTGGTTCTCTTGGGTTTTTGTGGTTGTTGAATTATAATTTATTTTCATGGACTTGGAGTATATGGGTATCACGATCCACAAATTATCTCTAATTCATCATTTTCCCTTTTTGAACAAAATAAAAAATAAAAAATTCCCTGTAAAAAATTGATTAATGGGTTTTCTTTTATCCAAGTTTGGGTACAAAATTTCAGGTTAAATACTTGTTTTGTCACTCTCTTCATACCTAAAATCATTTTAGACATTGTAATGTTTGCAAACGTTGTAAAGTACAATGACCAAAATAGATTTTCGGCATAAAATTGCGGCCTTTGTGTCCAGAGTTGGCGGAATCCTTACCTGGGGTGATTTATGGCCCGAGTGGATTTCTGATATTCTTGCTAGTGATGTAAACCTTACTATTCGTCTTTAATAATATTCTCTCATCGTTTGACCAAAAAATAAATAAATTGTTCTTAACCCTTAAATTCCTTTAGAAACAAAATAAAAAAAATAAAAGAACATGCTTAGCCTATCTTTAAGCAGCTTAATTAGCTTCAGCTTCATTCACAATGAGTTGCAAGATGCGGTTGCACAACCACAACTCTAGAATTAATAATTATTTTTAAGCACTGAATGTTGATATATAAAGCACATTTCTCGCACGTTTCAAGTGAAACCAGCAACCCAATTTCCAACTCATTACAAAGCCACTTTTAGCAAAGTTGAAGGAAACTTGGTTGAGGTGAGGAGGGTCAAAAGAAAACAGAGGTGCGCACCAAAACAGGATTGGTACATTTTACATGCGCAAAAGAAGAAGAATTCAAGACAAATAGAGGTCATAGGCCAACCAAAGATTTCAGCACACTTGGCTCTACCTCAGCCGTGGGATTTTTTATTTTTTATTTTTATTTTTTGTGTGTGGCCAAATAGCAGTATAGCTTTGATTTGAAAGAATGAAGCCATGCTGCTGCATTGTGTAGCGGCATGGGTTCATCAAAGTAAGACTAGTAGTCCTCTTTTAATCTATTTTTCTTTTTCTTTTTTTGGCTGAAAACATGTATAAGGACCTTAGGATTTAATTTTTGGGAGCTGATTTTTCCACGTCTCGTTTGTTCACTTATACTCCCTTTTGTTTTTTAATCAGTTTTTTTCTTTGTTGTTCTTTCTCTTTCCTATTCTACCATTACCCTACATTAATTTCAATTCTTCCAACTTGCACTCCATTTTTAGTATTTTTTTTCCTTTCATCGAGTAAGAAATAATTAACATTGTATATTTGTCTAGGCAAAATTATATGGTCCACCTTGCAAAAACTCTCCCCATAGGAATAAACCTTGCAGCCATAGTTATATATATATGGAAACAAATTTAATGCAAAAGACAATAAAATACAAAGATGGCCAAGGTGGCCATAAAGAAACAGAAAACCTTAATGTAGGCTAAGGTTAGAATATGAAGGAGAAAGAACAAAAAAGAACAAAATTGATTAAAAAGTAGGCTTAATTGCTACAGTGCACCTTGAAACATTGGTCAATTCTCACTTTACCCCCTTAAAGTTAAAGCGACCCCCTTTGCCCCCTTGACCAAGGTTTGATGTTCCAGTTAAAAGTCTTTTTGTTATGTTATAAATGGGTTTTGGGTGTGTTTCTAAAGTCCATTTCATATAGGATATTTTTATAATTTGGGCTCATGTATTGGGTATATTAGTGAATCTCCCTTTTATATATATATATATATGGAAACAAATTTAATGCAAAAGAAAATAAAATACAAAGATGGCCAAGGTGGCCATAAAGAAACAGAAAACCTTAATGTAGGCTAAGGTTAGAATATGAAAGAGAAAGAACAAAAAAAACAAAATTGATTAAAAAGTAGGCTTAATTGCTATAGTGCACCTTGAAACATTGGTCAATTCTCACTTTACCCCCCTAAAGTTAAAGCGACCTACTTTGCCCCCTTGACCAAGGTTTGATGTTCCACAGTGCCCTATACCGTCAATTCCATCCAAAAGTCTATTAAGTTTGATGACATGGCAGGGGTGTTTTAGTAATTTTGTACACCAAGATTTTTTTTCACAAATTTGGGTGGGTAATGTGGCAAAGTGGAGCCCACCTCCAGCATGGATAAAAAAATAATAATAATAATTTAAAAAAATTAAAATACAAATATAAAATTTAAAACTTTAAAAAATTGAACTCTCTCTCTCTCCCCTAATATCTGGGTTTGGTGCAGAAATCAACTCGTCAAAGGTTTGCAATTGACGCATACTCATTTGGGGAACCTTCAGCTTGTTTCCCAATATTTGACAATCCTTGGGACTTTGGCACTGGCTCTTTGTGCCAAAGAGATCTTGAGATCATCCTTAACATTGGCAAAGAAGCTTTCTGATATCCCAGCACAGATATGGGTGTGCTCTCTCTCTCTCTCTCTCTCTCTCTCTCTCTCATGAATTTATAATCCACTTTGTTGAGCCTTGAGACGGCAAAATTTTTAGGACATAAAAACAAGTCTTCTGCAAATTTTTCATAAGCACATTCAACCATTGCAAAATAGAGGCACAACGTCTTAGAGACCCGTTCTACTTACCTAACCAGGAACATGCCTCAGTTTCAGTTCTGGGTATAAAACAAAACAAAATTTTAATGGTTTCTTCAGCACTGTAAAATGAATGCAAAATCTCTACTGAGAAGAATTTCAAGCAAAGCACCACCATCAATATAGAACTCAGAAAGGTGACGGCTATAGTATATTAACAAACCATTCGTAGCAGAGTTCATGAATATGAGCAAATCAACTGGGTATGGGGGCTGGGGTTCTGTGGGAGTGGGGTGTTTGACTTCACCTACTGGGGTTGGTAGATGGTTAAGTTGGAGACAATATCGATGTTGCAAATAGTGGGCCGCTGGTCTTTCTGAAATTTAATATGGTATCAAAGCAAGACTTCATGTGGTGGGCTCAATAAGCACATGTGCTCCCATGTCACCCAATATATGTTGTTCACGTGTTAAGCCTGAAAGTTCGCCACACGTGCGAGGGCGTGTTCAGAGAGTTTGTCGCACATTGAAAAGTTAAGGGACCTAGCTTGGGTTTATAAGGAGTTGGGCTACTCCCCCTATTTCCAATTGATTTTGGGGTGGAACCTTAACTTTCTTCATGGTATCAGAGCATGGGGCTCAAGTGGTGGATCTAGCAATACGAAAACACCGCCCATATGGATGAGAGCGGGTTGTTTAGGTGGTGGCTCAAGCAATACATGAGATCCAGCAATACGATGACCCATCAATACAGAGACACCACCTATACCGATGTGGGCTTGGCTCCACGTCTGGCCCAATATGTGGTGGTCACACGTGAGGGAGCATATTGAAGAATATAAGTCCCACATCGGATGATTGACTAAATAAAATACAACTTATAATAAGTGGTTCTACTCATAATATCATCCAGGCCTTTCGTGATAAAACCCCACAGTTACTGGCCTTGGTATATGGTCAAGTTATGGACAATATTGGTGTTGCTAGTAGTGGGCTGCTGGCCCATCTCTCTGAAATTTAACAAGGTGAATGGTAAAAGCCATTTAAAAAAGAAAACCTAATTAAAAAATATAAATAAGCGGAAAAAAAAATTCTCTCAAACGCTCTCCACTTTTCTCCCTCTTAAACCCTAGCCGTCGCTCCTATCCTAGGGAAGGGGGAAGGTCACTGCCTTTCCTCCCCTCTCCTTCCTTCTCCTCCCCTATCTTCTCTCCTCCCCTTCCTTGTTTTTCCTCCCCAACTCCTTATAAACCCAGGCTAGGTCTCTTAACTTTTCAATGTGTGACAAACACTATCAATACGCCCTCGCACGTGTGGTGAACTTTCAAGCCTAACACGTGGACAATATATATTGGGTGACGTGGGAGCAAGTGTGGCCGTTGGGCCCAACAAGTGAAGCCTTGCTTAGAGACCATCAAGGAAGTTGAGATTCCACCCAGGGGCAGACCCACAGCCAGCCAAGGCTGTGGTGGGCTGTAGCCTAGGGAAGTTTTGAAGAAAAAAAAAACACAATAATAAACCTATATCTATATGGCCCACTACAAGAAGTATGTTGCCTTTTGGTTTTTTAATTGCAAAATAGGTTGCGTTTTATTATTATTTTTTTGCAACGTCTGGTGTCTTTTTTTTTATGCAGCCTTTTTTTTTTGGGGGAAATTATATGCTGTTTTTGACAAAACGTTTTTGAATAAGAACAAAAAAGCCTATATGGCTCACCATCAACTACAACACATTAGGGAAATATTATTTTCTCAATTTTATTTGTATTCTCTTTCAAGAACGGAACAATATGTTAACCCAATTCTATTGTTCTTATGTTTACAACTAATATATAAATAAAACTTGATTATTTATATTTTTGTACTTTGGATTTGTGAAGCTTATTCGGTTGATGGTAAGAAATTTTTAGGGATTCACATTGCAAAGATAAGATTTTTTTATAAAAAAAAAAATCATTAGATTTTAAGCTAAAATTTTTAACTAGCCCACCCACTGAAAAATTCCTAGTTTCGTTCTTTGTTCCACCCCAAAACGAATTGGCAATGAGGGCAGTAACCCAACACCTTATAAACTCGTGCAAGGTTTTCTAACCAATTGGCAATGGCGTATGGCGGTTGGGGTGGCGTGGGGGTGGGTAGGCGTGGCAGGGATAAGGGTTGGGAGGGGAGTTGGCTTTTTGGTTTTGTTTAATTTTGGATTTTGTAAATTTTTAGTCTTTTTAAAAAAATTTATATTGAAATAAAGTTTTTTTAAAATGTTACTAGATTTTTCAAGGTTTGTTGATGTGTCATATTTAAATGGTTAGATTATTATGATGGTTTAGATGTTGCGAAATGCGGGTAAATGCACGAATGCTAAATATAGACTCGGGATTCGTTCTAGGACATCTTGTTTCAAAATAATTATTGGGAATCGATTGAA